GGGGGGGGGGAGAACATGTCTCCTACTCGGGGATTGTACTCTGACCAGAATTTTCATTTTCATTTTGACACCGTCTTGTTTCTTTTCGGATATGGAGCAGCGGTGCAGGAGAGAACTTAATTACGGGGACTATTCCATCTTTTTTCGGGGAGTTCAAGAAGTTGGAGATCTTGTAAGCCATCTTTTGTCCCACATTCCATAAGATGTTGCTGCTCGAGATCCCGCCTGACTGTTTTGCGTTTCCTTTCTCCTTTCCCTTTGCTGTTCGTCTGTCCAGACATTCAGATAAGTCTGGGAAGTACTCAAAATCAACTTCTTTACAGTTCTTTCTACTTTGTCATCCTTACCCTATTGCACATGTCAAGTGGAACACAAATCCAACCTGGTTGCAAGTGTGATTACACAGCACCCCCACTTTCAGCCCCTGGTTTACGGATTCTGAACTGAAATTACTAAATTAGTGTTTGGGGCTAGGTTGTTTTCCTGGGCGCCTGGGCACCCAACATGTGCTCGGATTCGTGCTCGGTTGGCCGCGAGCAGGGTTCCAGGCAACCCCAGCGCAGAATAAAAAAAGGAACACAAAAAGATTCTGGGAAAAAAAAAAATGTTGAGTAGATTTGCAATGCAAGCAACATTTGGCTGAGGGTCACATCTGAGTCCGTCACTGAATGGTAGATTTAAAATAAAATAAAAATTAAAAAAAATCCGACTAATAAACACCATAGTTGCGGTGCACCTCGTTGCATGGATTTGCGCACCGCGCATGGCATGGGAAAAATTAAGGTCCCAAAAAAAAAAAAAAAAAACTGCGGGTTTTGTAATTTCTTAGCCCCCCCCCCCCCCCTCCCCCCCCCCCCAAAACAAAAATGTTCAACTTGCCGCGCGAGTTTGGAAACCGGCTGCGCCCCGGGCCTGAAAAATGTTTTTTGGGCAGGGGCTGCCGGATTTCAAATTTTGCAGGCCCCTCCCCCAAAAATTTTGAAATGGCGGATCATGAAAATAGGGCTCATTGAACCTCATTCCAGTTTGTTTTTCCTTGGTGGAGTGTGGCAACTGGCCTTTCCCCTCCCTTCTGCAAATCCCACACAGTGGTAGAAAAATTTGCAAGAAGGGTGTAGTTGCCCAATAGCCACCTGCTCCACAGTGCTTTGCAGAAGTCACGAGTTATGTTTGGCAAGGCTAACCAACCAGCAATATATGCTGAAGATTGGCATTCAGGTCTGCATGTCAACAGCTATGGGTTAGGATGAAGATGCCTGTAGCTCTCTCGTTTTCTTCTTTTTGTTTTCCTAGGAATATGTACAGTGGCCCAAGGGGCCTCTCTCCACCACTCACCATATGCACAAAAGACATAGCATATGGCGGTGTATGATTCCATGTCTTAGCGGAAGATTCATTCTAATGTTATACATTTAGTCGGTGGTGGAGCGAGGCCCTGAGAATCACGTGGAGACACGAACAGGGTCTAGCTGAATTGGTGGCCCATAACTGCCTACCTACCGACCTGAACTCGAACCCACAGCATATATTGGTGGTCTGCTCCCACCTCTGCCACATATGACACGGTCATCCTGCTCGTTGAAGTATTGGTCCTCAATGACTCCACAATGTCCACATACATTGTAGGAGCCATTCGGGTTACCTGCAGGGGCCCTTGAATTGTCGTGCAGGGGGCCCTTCTCTCTCTCTCTCTCTCTCTCTCTCTCTCTCTCTCTCTCTCTCTCTCTCTCTCTCTCTCTCTCTCTCTCTCTCT